AAACGCCCTTGAGTGAATGACAAATTGAACAGGTTGCACAGTGGCGCTGCAAGTTCATCTACCAGCTCCTTCAGGATCAGCGGATGTACACCATCAGGTCCAGGTGACTGCTGAACCTTTGGTCGACGCAGCTCCTCTCCGATGGTAAATGGGGCCCATTTCAGCGCAGTGTCAAAAACAATTTTAATTCGAACTTCATTTAACAAATTATATGAACTTTCAAATAAAAAGGTGACGATAGACCGTGTATATACAGTTAGATAACCGTTCTGCATGTGTAAAAATGGACTTTTAGACATACTTGCCCTTTAGAGAAAGCGAAAACCGATTAGCAAAAGCGAGAAGTGCATTCTGCATCAGCTACATTCAGTCGAATATATTGTCCTTTCAAGGTGCATTCTTACTACGCACAAACATAATCTGTCATTTGAGAAATGATTTCATTCACGGTGGCTTTCGCAATGGATTTCTTCACCCTCTTAGTCGAATGAATCAGGGTACCGGAAATATAGACGACGTAGATTGCTTCTCGCATCAAACTACTTACGGATATGTGGGCCACTGACTCGATTGAGCGGTACAGTGTACTGAACAGCCTGATCGTAGGAGCCGATGGTACAACAGGGCTTTCAATACATCGTGGATTCAAAGCACTATTCTATTTATCTATCGTTAAGGCTCTTTAGTTGAAGATTGGAGGTGAAGTCATCAAAAACAACCGCCCATTTTGATCTGAGAGGATTGGTAGCAGAAAAAATCACAATACTGATACTGTTGTGTAAAACACAAACTTTGCATCTCCATCCATTCGTATTTGTTAATTTTTTTCCGTGTACGATGTCGACAGGCTAGTGGTTGAATGGTAAAAAAATTTAAACTACCGAATTCTGGAAATGAGCTCATAATAATCATTAATGCCTTCGCACACATCCTTCGGAAACAAACCTAAGGCGCTGCCAAATTTTGTGCTATGAAACAAATGTGAATTAAGTACAACCGAGCATACCTTGAAGGGTGTTTGTGTCGATCGGGTCAGATATTGGTCGAGGCTCTTGACTGGATGCAGCAGTTTCAGGGAAACTGGGCGAGGGTGAGGCCAGTGCGGATAGGCGTCGTATCCGAGGAGGTATCGCCGGAGGTGGACATGTGAGATTCGATTGTGCGTCATCCGGCGTTTTGGGTCCGAGTGGCGAGGGTGAAGGGAACATGAAGACCTACGGAACTCTGAGCGAAATCACCCAAATGGGCTGGAAGGATGAAGACAAGCGATTGGATGATGCAAACAGCCTCAGTCGCCAGGAGATTGGTACAGAAGGCATGCGCCTACAACTGATAAACAAGAAACAGTGTTGGGCAATTGTGTAGCCATTCAACATGACAATCAGAGAATATTAGAGTCAGTCCTGAAAATTCCGCAGACGTCATCGTATCCAAATACCATCAACTGATATAGGTCTCCATGCCAAATGTAAGCAAATAAGATTGGAGAAAACTCATTCCGTTCGTTCCCACAAACCCCTATCATCTTTTGGTGTTCTGGCTATAAGACAACTGGCAGTATCATTTTATTTTTGAATGAGCAGAACATGAAGAATGAAAACAAACCCAGACGCAGGTTATCACTAGCATCACCGAACAGCGAAATAGAATGAAACGAACTTCGGTCACCGCTCTCAAACTCATAATGTATATATAGAAAGTCGGTGAAAATGTGTAAGTTATACCCAGAAAGGGGCCTGTTGTGAGAGGTTAAAAAGAAGATGAACCTTGATGATCAACAGAGTCTAACTGTGCACATACATAACACTTCAGGTATTCTGACCTGATGAGATATGACAACACAAATAATACTGCGGTCGGCTTGCTGTCATGTTTTTCAATGTCTTCAAAAAACCAGTTGTAGTTTTTGGACCCCAAACTAGAAAGCAGGGATCCAAGCCTCATTCTATCTGTGCACTTTTTTGTCTCATCTTCACATGATCCGTTGACGTNGTTCACCTTGGAGCATCATCAACTGCCAATGAGGCGCGGGGCGACAAACGACAACTGGGCACGCACAATAAGTACCTTAAACAACGAAGCCCATGGATTCGAATTCGTTCCGATAACGAAGTTTCCACCGAATCAATCGCGAACATACATAGTAGATTACCTGAGTGTGGATGGGCAAAGCACGCTGATAGCGACACGCCTCGATGAAAATTCGACCGGAACGCTTAACACAACCTAAGCAAGTTGGCTCAATGATTCAAGTAGCATTATTGGCTGCTAGTTTAGGTAACAGGTTAGGTTAAAAGCCTTTTGTGTTCAGCTGGATATCCCAGTCAACAATCCGTAATAAAAAAGATTGTTAAGCTGAAAAGCTTTATTAGAGGCGAATTGAAAAAAGTCACCAAATACCTCGACAACGCTAGATACATCGTGACTTCTGCGTTGAGGATGATAGCGGGGCCGAGATTTCGTGTTCAAATGAGTCAAAGTTTTTACTGGTAGTTTTCGCCGCTTATCCGGATAGGCTAAAATTTGGACCGTTCACTTTTCGGATGTGACCCCGTACACATGACGAGGTGAGTGAACCGTAGACGAGACGCACTTGTCAACAACAATGACAAAAAACAAAGATTTGTGTAATTCGCATTGACCCACACACACTCCTAATGAGATAGATCTGGAGTTAAAGACCCGAAGGGGACAGTGCATACGTACACATGATGAGCTCGAATGCGAGTGAAACTAGAGTCTAGCGCGTGTCGAGTGTATGGTTGACTGAATGAACTGCATCGAATGTGAATGTGTGGTCTGACAGATAATCAATCTAAATCAATTTTTCCTTTTTTGAGAAGATACTCTTTGGAAGAGATAACCAGACAAATAAATTCACTCTCTGTTTATCTGCTGTAGTGCTGGCAAGCGGGCATGGGTGGTGGAAGAGATCACCGATGTCTTTCAACTGTTGCTAATAATGCAATATGCTAGAACTCGACCCATAAACTTTTAAAATAGCGCAGAATCTGGAACCCCAAAAACGTTGTGCACAGCCGAGAAACAATGCACCGCATCTGTCAAACTAAGTTTCTTCGTGGACAGTATGGTTGGAGTCGTGTAGACAACAACGCACCAATACTCAACGACAAGTGGTAGACTGGAACGTTCTAACAACTCAAAAGGAGCTGATGACAGTGAGTGAGTGAGTGAGTGAGTGAGTGAGTGAAAGAGTGAGTGAGTGAGTGAGTGAGTGAGTGAGTGAGTTAGGGAGTGAGTGAGTGAATCAATCAATTAGTCAGTCCGTGAAGGGAAGTGAGGTAAGTACGGCTGCATACAGACTTCGGCGCGCCATATCCAAAACGATCACAAACACAGACATCTCAAACTCGACAAACAAAGACAAAGAAAGAGAGAGAGAAGGGGTGAACAGCTACACGACTATGAGGATGATATATTCGGACAGAAAAAAAACTTGATCTACAGGGCAAGGGGTACAATCAGGATGAAAACTGACAGCGAAAGAGACTGACAGCCATATGCGGATTGCCCGATTAATGAATACAACTAGGGTGTCCGTGAAAAGCACCAAAT